GACAAGCCTCATCACCTTGACAACAAGCCTCATTACCCAGACGACAAGCCTCATCACCTTGACAACAAGCCTCATTACCCTGACACACCCCATCACCTTGACAACTTCATCACCCTGACAACAAACGTCATCACCCTGACAAGCCTCTTCACCCCAACACCAAGCTTCACCACCTTCAAAAGAAATCTCATCACCCTAACAACAAGTCTCATCACAACCAACCTCATCACCTTGACAACAAACCTCATCACCTTGACAACAAGGCCTCACCTTTACAACAAGCTTCATCACTTTGACAACAAACCTCATCACCCTGACAGCAAACCTCATAATGGAGCTTCCACTGTCCTGTATCCTCTGAGGTCTGATGCTTTTGGTACTAGGTGGGCATGTCTATAATATAGATACACAGCCTCCTCACCTGAACCTACCTACCAGAGGAGGGAAGTGACAGGCAGATTACAACTCAAAACGCAAACTCAACAACTATGAAAGATCGTCCCACCTCAGTAACAATAGCAAAGTTCAACAGGGCAGCAACAGCAAATGCTGACAAGGTTGTGGAGAGATTGGAACTCTCATTCACTGCTGGTGGGAGTGTAAAATGATACAACCACTATGGAAGAAGGTCTGGCACTTTCTCAAAAAGTCAGAAATAGAAATACGATTTGACTTAGCCATTCCACTACTGGGAATATACCCTAAAGAAACCACAGCCATGACTCGCACACTCATGTGTACTGCTATGTTATTCAGAATAGCAAAAAGATGGAAGCAACCCAAGTGTATCCATAAACGTTTGAAAAACTAAGGTACATTCACACCATGGAATACTATACAGCACTGAAAAACGATTACACAACATGCTGTAAAACATTACACAACATGAGGGAGCCTGGAGGACATCATGTTGAGTGAAAATATCTCAGACACAAAGGATAAATACTGCATACCACCACTGTTATAAAATAGGACAGAGATAGGGGGGTTGAGGAGAAAATGGGAAAAGAGTGGATAGGTAACGGACACTGCAGAAGAACAGATGAGGGGAAGAATCATATATTCCAAAAGGATGAAAGGAGAAAGGATGAAAGGCACACAAGTGTTGAGGACTTTCATTCATAGAGTCGCTATGAGTCACCTATGACTCGACGGCACCTGACAATAATAACATCAACAGAGAGAGAGAGAGAGATCAGCTGGCCCAGTGGACAGAAAGTGATGCTACCAAGTCAAAGGTGGGTGACTTTTAATCCGCGGCCCTCAGGCCTGTTTTTTTCATGATTTTTGTTCAAACATTCTTCTAGGTCCTATAGCGCTGGTGTGCCCACTTGCCGTACATAGGTAACTTGTGGTTGCTGTGAAGTTGAATACTGTGACACTGATGTGTCAAATGCGTTAATGGTTAGCCGTGGTGAACAGTGTTTGGTGGAGTTCTCCGATTAAAACAAGCTTGGAAGCAGGAGTGGCGTCCACTTCCGTAAATAGTTTGCCTCCAGAAACCCTATGAACACACAAGTGTAGAGGACTTCCGTTCACAGGGTCACTATGAGTTGCCTACAACTCGACGGCACTTAACAACAACAACAACATATATGATTAGGCACTATATGTATGACAACAATTGGGGAAAGGGGGTGCATTGTGGGGAGGGCTGGAGGAAGGAGAGTGGAGAAGGCAGAGAAAATGTGCACCAAAATCTGAGTGCCGTTGGGTCAGTTCCCACCCCCAGCTGACCCTCCTTCGGTTTCCCAGGCTACAAACCCCAGGGAGAGGAGGACCGGCCATCTGTGACCCATGGAGTGGCTGGTGAATCCCAAGCGCCAGAGAACTTAGGTCTCTGGATTAGCAGCACAGCTTGGTATGGACTGTGTCACCAAATATCCCAAGGCCCCCGTTTTTCGGTCCCTGCCCCGCAGCACAGAGCCACGTACAAAAGAGTTGTCATCTCCACCTAGGTTTTCAGCCGCTGTTCACCTTGGTAGCTGCCTGCTGCTTATTCTATGCAAGAAAAGTGACTCTAGAGACACCAGCATGTGGCCAGGCTGTGATCAAAATGCACGTTATTCATTCAGAGTAATCCCACTCGGTGACCGCTGGGCTAAAAAAAGAGCCGCCGCGTGATCCAGAGACTGGTACAACCTGGGAGGATTAGGTGTGCGGTCTCAAAATCCCAATTATAACATTCCGCCTGCAGCTCCCCAGCAGCCAATAAACAGCTGGAGAATGTCTTTATATGATCTAGCTCATCGAGAAGAAATTGACATGTAATCAACAACTTGTAAGTTTTTAATCTAATAACAAAGATAATATAATACAAACTAAAATTCAAAACACAGAATCAAAAGCAGGCAAAGGTCAATGTAACTTCTGTTACCTTGTTGTTGTTGTTGTTGATTGCCTTCAAGTCGAGCACAACTCCTAGCGACCCTATGAACAAAAGGCCTGAAGCCCCTCTACAACTATCGACATTTATCAAAGTTCGCAGAGTTTCCAGAGGCATGTTATTTAGGGAGGGGATGCCTACAGAAGTTAATATACCTCGTTTACTTTTACAAAGTTATGTGAGGCCTAACAATGAAACATACACATTCCGAGCCATTTAACGGCATTTGATTTCAGGTTCATTCAAGGTCCTGCAGGTAAATTAGCACTACTTCTCACAGCTCTGGACACACAGGTTCTATTGATCCAGCCTCCCTTCATGCAGATAGGAAGCGAGAGAAACAAGCTTTAAAAACCCTGGTCTGTGACTAGAGAAGTTCTTTTTTTGTTTGTTGGTTGGTTGGTTTTGGTTTTGTGGTAGTTTTGTTGTTTTTTTTTTTCCTGAGAAATTCTTATGCACTAAACACTTGGTCCAGCCAGAGGTATAGATTACAACATTCAAATTCACTGCCTTTCAGTCAGAATCAGCCTTACGTGGCCCTGAAAAGGGATTTCTGATATAATATATAGCCATGGAGGTGTGGAGGAAAATGTATTGTCAAAAATAAGTCTATTCCAAAATCAATTTCCATAATAGTCTATGTGTTTCCTACTGCCAAAGGGGCCCTTTAGAGTAGTGAGAGAAGATCTTCACCCTGAAACCCACA